GCCTCGTGAGTTTGCATCTTCAATTAATTCTGCCCAATCTTGTGAACCTTCGGCGAGAGCCTGGGCAGAACCTAGTATAATCAACGAAGCCCTGGCACGCGTAAGACCCACATTCATGCGTCTGACATCTCTCACAAAACCGATTCCTCTATTTAGAGACACAGTTCGTACGCATGAGAAAACCACGAACTCCTTCTCACGACCTTGGTATGAGTCAACTGTATCAATCTCGACATCGCCAGTTGGAATACCGGCTCTATCGAAAGATTGTCGGAGCTCCTGCATCTGACGTTTGTAGGGGGTAACAACTCCGAACCCTGAAACTGAGCCCGGTGTCTTTGCCGCCGCAGAGAAAAGAGGATCTTGCGGAAATTCTTTCTTCAACTTGGTGTAGATCAACGCCGCCAGTTCGGCCTCAGCGGGATTGAAAACAGACTTGTCATCACGAGTACGCTTCTCCCGTCCTTCTGAAATGTCAAGGAATACGTACGGACCAAACTTTGGGCGCAGGGAGTGCCTGTGGTACGGTCGAGCCCGGTTCTCGTCTTGGACGCTGTGGTCATCGACAAGCCTTCCGTTGTAGAAGTATCGTCTTGGAAAGGATGATATTGCTGGATGCATCCGATACTGAGTGTCTAGCAAGAGCACTGCTTGTCCTGCACGACAAACGCGTTCGAGCAAAGACTGTCCGTACGCCAATCCTGCAGACCCCGACGACAGCACAGTGGCGGGAAGCTGCTGGGGATCGCCCACCAGCAGACAGCGTGATGCCCCCAGCGTGAGGGGAACGAGGCACGAAGTCTCTGTGGCTTGAGCTGCCTCATCAATAACGACTGTGTCAAAAAGCGCAGTCTGTCCATCGTCGAAAAAATCACTCGATGTGCTTCTCGTTAGAATGCTTGACGCAGATCCAGAAAGAGTTGCGAACACTAGTTGTGCATCCTCTACATATGTGCGAGCGATCATTCTTAGCTTGTCTTCTCTTGTTAAACCTTTCTTGCCGTCCGCCACAGCTATTCGCAATCTTCTCATATCACGGTCTAAGCGTTCAAGGTTTTCGTGAAGTTGAATGATAACTGACTGTGATGACTCCTGATCTTTCGGCGTTCTTGATAGCTGCACAAGTAATGTATTACATCGATTCTGCCAAGATGTGAGAGATTTTCTCTGGGCCTTCTCACGTGCTTCTGGGTTCATTTCTTCGCCGCAGACACGGTCAAGAAAACGTTCTGCTTGACCCTCGGCGGTTAAAGGCTTCGCAGCGTCCGATACGCGATCACCAGCACCTATTCTTGCTAGCTCCGGACAATACTGACGCCCCTGTCCATCCACGAATTTAGAGCGAACCAGCCGGGTGAGAACCTCGTCTACAGCCGAATTAGATGGTGCACAGATCAAAAGCCGTGGCCGCCGAATATGCTTGGGAAACGCAAGAGTATTGATATCAGTCGCGACAGAGATAGTCTTACTCATATCATCCATCATTGTCTCCAACAAACTTCCTTCTGTGGATTTATCTGTGTCGTTCTTCTTTTCTTCTGCGCGATCAGAAGAAGCTGCTTTGGCTGCAGTCTGTTTTTGCTTAACAGACCCATGGAGACTCTCTAGTGATGCCAGTAGGCCTTCGTAGTACTTCTGGTACTGCGTCATGTGTACAACATTTAACAAGCCAATTAAAGTCCTGGTCTTGCCAGTACCTGGTGGGCCTTGAATAACAGAGAATCCAGAACGCGTAGTACTGGAATGAATTATAGCACGAGCTTGGGATGGGTTAAGACCAGTTTTCTCCACCACAACGTTTGTGAAGAAATGCTCACTGGCAAAGGACGAGGCATCTGCGTCATTGACTTGTTTTCGGGCTCCATTGGAGCCATTTTCCGAGCCTCCATCGGTACTAGTGGACTGTTGCAGCCGAGGACGTAAAATAACTGGCAACAGAACCGAGTTCTTAATAGTTTGAAGAGCATCGAACTCTCTTTTCACTGTAGTTATGGATCCAACACGTAGTATGTTCCAGCGACGGGTCTTAGAGGACTGCTTGTTACTGTGTTCTGGATCTGTCGCAAGCAGGTTGTTTTCATGGTCTTCAGGAAATCTGGATGTGATGAGGCGACATCCCGTCCTGTTAATGCTCTTGATGAGACTTAGGACAGCAGAAGAAGGAATTTTTCGAGTGCTACTCGCACTTCGATTGTGCTGCGAATTTTCGGTTGCAGGTTGCGACCAAACTGCAACGATGTCGTTATCAACGCAACCAATCGGTCCCCGTCTGTCGCATGTTTCAACATCAACGGTCCAGCCAAAGCCAGGCGGATGTGATTTGATCACTTTTTGAACCGTGACTATAGCAACGGTGGTGCCGCTTTCTTCGCGTCGTGCTCGAATTTTGCTCTGTCTTGAAGTAGGTGCTCTGTGATACTTTTCGATTGCTGAGAGCAGCTCAGCAGAGAGCTCAGCGAAGAGAAGCGGCTCAAAATATGCCTTATAACTATGGTATGTCGGGAAAGTGGTCTGCGGAGCAGAGGAGTTCTCTGAAAAACGTGCGGTGGTTTCAGAGAGTTGTGAGGGCTGCCATTCACAAACTATCTGCGCCAGCGACCTAGTTTGCGGAGTGGTTGTAACTGCCTGCATTACTCCATTAATATCGCGAAATACGTAAGCGAGAGGTCCCGCGTGGCTATTCGAGGGGGAATGTGACTATCACTTTAAGCGCGCGACGGAGCATTGAAGCATGTTCTGTTTGGATCGGGTGTTGGACAACAGCCGATTAGGCGAAAAGCGTGTTTGTGTGGAGTTTGAGGGGGCAGAACACGGTGAAGCAGAGTAGCAAATGGCAAGCTTTGTGTTGATGCAGGAGGAGGAACGCAGTGAAGGGCTTGCTGGGGCAAAGATGAAGATGTAGTCGTGTGTTGAGGAGTGGAGAAGGAGGAGTATGTTCGCGTGAGGAGGAGAGAAGTGTAAGGCGAAATATGTTGTTGAGAGGAGAAATGCTACGCTTTGTGTGCTTGTGCTCTCGGCGTAGTAAACTTTCTTGAGTAGGATGTTGTTGGGGGGGGAAGGGGGGGAGGGGGGGTTAAAGCTTATTCGTCGCGCCCACAGATAGAAACCGTCCTTCAACCAGGAAGTCGTCGATGATCCCAACTGGCCGTAGCCCTAAAGTTACGCTTCGGGGGAGGAAGATGGGAGAGGGCTGCGGTGCAACTTTTGACACATTTGGGCGGCATGCGCGCCAGCCGGCGCTCCGCGAGCAATGGGCGCGCCGAAACGCCGACAGAGCGCGGTTACTGACGGACAACTGTAAGCCGCGGCTGCACGCAACATGCACGGAAATGTAAATGTGCGTGCAGGATAAGTGTTTTATCAATGCCACCGCACTGTTTCACGTGAGGAGTTATCACCACCAGCGGGGTGACACCTGACATGTTGTAGAACGCTGCACTGCTAGCTAGCTAGCGATCGCTAACCCTTAACCCCTCACCTTCTCCCTTGTAGCTGCGGATGGACGTGTGCGGTTGCCTCGCCAGCCAGCTGCAACAAACCAAATTGCTTAGGGTCACAGGGATCACAGCACAGCCCTTTCCCTTTTCATCCAGCGACCGCAACAGGTAAGGGTTATCGTCATCGGTATCCGCACGTACCGGTACAGTTGCCTAGTGTTGCTGGCTATTCATCCAACAGCACACTCCCGGAAACCGATCGTCGCAACGCGCTTTGGGCTTCATCCGAATCTCAATCGGGAGCGACAACCTGCCATTGCCGTGCACAGGCAGCCACAACCACACGCCCAGTTCCCCCTTTGAGCGACGGCCCCAGCGTTTGCGGCGGCAAGCACATTGAGCACGTGTTCGCAACCCACACAGAGCCACTGCATCCGCTTCCCGATTCGGCACCATAAGCCATGCCGCCTGCCATGCTGTGTGCGACGCCTTTGACGTCTTTCGTTCGCTCAAAAGACTCCACACGGGTGCCGTAGAGAACCTTCCTCGCCGCACAGCTCGGAAACCATCCAGCTCCCCACCGCAGCGACACCGTAGCAGCCGGGAACAAAGAACACGCCGCTGCAGGTTTAGCTTTTGAAGGCAATCTTTCAACTCCAACATGCCCATTCGAAACAACTTGGCCCCTTCCGCGGAACAATCTATCTGGTTCGAAAACAGTGAGCCGCGCAGTGAACCGCGCAGAGAACAGGTTGTCTCGCATCTAATTCGTTTTGATTCGCTGTTCCATCACGACTCGTGGTCATCGGATGTGTTCGTGTTCTTTCATAACGGAGTGCGACATGAATTACTCGATCTGCACAAGATGCTCAAGCTCACTGCGCACGATGACGGTCGCATTCGCATCAAACACCTGCTGGCGCTGGAAAAATGGTTTGTGCAGTTTTCCCAAATGGTTGCCATGTACTTTGTGGTCAATGACAACGTCATATACCCCACTTTGGTCACCTTTCAGTCTAACCTACGTGCCACTTTGACGAAGCGCGGTAAGCGCCATGTCGGCATTATCAACCACTTGTTAGAGATTCATTCGGAGTGTCTCACGCTGACAATGATCGGTGCGCATCGTTCCAGTGCGAAAAGGGCGTTGAGTTGCCCCGGCATGGGTGAGTCTGTAAGTAGAATGATTCGCCTTTTGCACGGATTGGTATCCAGTGTGGAACAGATCTTCGAATGGGAATTCACGGTGTTGGTACCGGTAGTGAAGGAGAGAATGCTACTATGGGAAGCACGCGAGTTGATAAAGAAATGTTTGGATGAGATGTCATCCTGTGAGGTAGGGCGTGAAGTGATGTGGGGTTACTTCCGGGGTGTTCCGACGGACTACAAGGAAAAGTACTTTGCGGCAATGGAGCGGCTGACGCGGATGAAGCTCCGTGCGAAAGAGAAAAGATGGCTCAGGGAGCATCAGGGGTTCAGCAACAAACTCTCCTCTTTGCAGAGTCGTAGAATCGGTGGTGTCAAGGAAATGAAATGACAGGGCGAATTAAAAAACTACTCACCTCCCCCAGGCGAGGCTTGAACTCGCAACCTTTGGCTCATAAGACCAATGCTCTTTTCGTCACTTCAAAATTTGAAAACCGATTGAGCTACAGGGGGGTAAGCCTCACTGACAAACCTTACTACTGTGAGGGAGATCAAATTCAATTTATAGCTAGCCAAAGTCGCGTTTGCGTGTAGGAATCATCACTTCACCTAGGAAGACGGCGCATGTTGAAGACAGCGGCTCGTGGCCGGCTTCGAGAGGTTGAGTCTCGTTCATAGAGGCTCTGCTCTCACTATCTCACTTCTTACTCTCTAGAATAATGTACTTGGTACCATCGAACATCCACAGCTCTCCCGCGAGCATCCACATACTGCAAATTGGATCGAGTCAAATACGTGCTTGTCTTTTGCCATGCGCGAAAGTTGTCTTGAGTATCATCATCCCATAAGAAGATGGTCGTTGTTTCCACGTGTTTGATCGACGGTTGTATCCTCAGGTCATCCGTATCCAGCCTAACTTCTTGGCGGACTGTCTCGGTTGTATACAAACCTTCTCCAGCTGTATGCTGCACCTTTGCGTCGATATCCGTCCATGTAGCTTCCTCTCGAATCTTGAAAGCAGCTTCCATGTTGCGCGGAACATAGTCCGTCTGCTGCATTCTGCCAATTGTTTTCAAATCCACTGCGAATACTGAACCGTCGGGTCCACCAGGTTTCAACGTTAGTTGCAACTGGTCTACTCTGTTCCCCTTAGTTTCGCAATCCAACACGGAGTAGGGGCCCATCGCCGCACGCGCAATCGACGCCACGTTAAATGCCCTGTCCGCAATCACATTCCCCATGGACCGAATGAATCGGCTATCGTACTGCACACTTTCCCCGATACCCTGCGTAGGTTTCGGCGAGGGCCACGCCCCAATGTCAACTTGTCAGAACGCGTGTCGTAAAACGCCTACCACAAAGATAGCCTTACCACAACTGGAAAGTACAGTTTATCCGAACATACCTTTTTTGCCTCTTCAAAAGAGCCCATTCGTCCGAAAAGCTTGTAACCTGCAGGGCATGCCACCGACAACAACATTGAATTTGTTTTCCATGTCCCAGCGAAGAAATCAGGATAGTACAAATCCTCCTGAAACATGCGTTCAGGAGCTTCTTCTGACACCCTTTGCTTCAGTCTCGCAACTATATCCGGTGGAGGAGTGAACGGGTTGTAAATCGCTTCTGTCGGCTGTGGAATCTGAATACCTACAAAAACACCACTGATGCCCGAAACGGCCCAGCGCATAATATCTCGTCGGGAAACCTGAGAATCTACGCGACATACTGCTATGCTTCGAGAGCGGTCAGTGCAAAGGTCTTCCGTTCTCGATGGAAGCCCCGCTCTGCTGAAGTCATGGCCTGTGAAAGTCCCCTTTCGCAATGAACTTGCTGCACTTATTCCGCAGAAAGCGGCTGTGCAGCAAGGAGGCATAGTGCTAGGAGTGCGACGGTAACGAAGGAATAAATCAATGCGATTCGACTTGGTTTTTGAGATCGGACCATGAAGGGTAAAGGGTTAGATTGCTGACCAGGATACAAGCTTTCCTCTGTTGTATATGCCGAGCAGCTTCAGAATTTGAGGTTGATATACGCGTTTGCGTACTAGCGATGAAAAACTATGATGAAATTCAAACTCCTCACGATCATGGTGGCTCCTCACGGCCATGATGGCCGTAAGTTGTGCTACCCTTGGTGTACAGATGTTTCCACAAGTGCTTGTGCTGCTTGTTCAAAGTGTAGTCTTCTACCCTCACGTACCTGCAACTCGGTCATTGCTTCTTCCCTGCGCCATTGTTTGTTCGAGATTACCATTTCGATTTCGTTGGAAGACACTCTCATGTTTCTACTGGGAGCTTTCATTTTTTAGATCTAGCTATGTGTCTCGAATTGGACAAGAACGATCCAGAGCGCATAAGTGTCTGTTTTGCGTTCTCGCTTATGAACTAACGAATAAGTGCCACTAGTAGCCGTGGTCCCTTTATACGGATTCAACGCGCAGTCGGATCCGTACAACAAGTGCTGCAAGCAACTCAGAACGAAGTAAGTTCTTTACAAGTGGTCCATGCTACGAGGTGCACAGCACGGTAAACATAGTGGATTTTGCCAGGCAAGCAAGACCTAACGGTACGACTTCTGGAAGCGAGCGCGTGCACCACGGCCACCGAACTTCTTCGGTTCGCATCTACGCGGATCTGCTACAAGAAGGGTTCTGTCGTAGGCAAGTAACAAGTCCTTGAGTTCCCGCTTTTGAACTTCATCAACGTATTTTTGGTAGTAGGCAACCATGCCCTTTGCAATTGCTTGTCGAATAGCGTAGATTTGAGCAGTGTAACCACCACCCTTCACTCTGAGACGAATGTCAATATCAGCAAAGCGCTCCTGACCGAGAATAAGTAGGGGCTCGAGCACCTTGACGCGCAGACCTTCTGGTTCAAGCAGATCCAGAGGAGTTCCGTTGATTTTCATGAGGCCCTTTCCATTACCGGTAATGTGTGCGACGGCAACGGCAGTTTTCTGCGTTTAAAGAACACATGGCGGGAATCATGTTTCGCAGTGACGATAGAGACGCGTGTCAGTCAAAGAGTGTCTTCAAGACATTCGCGCATCGGAGTCTTCGCCCTACTGCCGTTGAGTAGTGTACGCGAACCCTCCACGGTTTCCTGATCTAGGACAAAAATCAAACCGGATCTCGAAATGGCGTAAATCGAAACGCTCAACCGGACGTCTGACGAGCTATTCGCTGCTTACCTTTCGTCCGAAGACCTGGACGGAGTTCTTGCCCGTGGTAACACCCATAATGTGTTGTGCTCGTTTAACAAATAGCCGCAGAACAAACTGATACCCCCCCTGTGTGAATACGAAGATTGCTGTTCTATGCGGAGAAGGCAGACGACGGAGTCAAGCAAAGTACGGGAAAGGGAAGCGATATGTGATTGTGCAAGGTGCCGCACTGGGTATTGCCGGTGACGAGCGAGAAGCCACGGACGACGGCCGACGACTTGGAAAGGCCTTGGGCAGGATCATTTGGTGCTAATTTTCAGAAAAAAAGGTCTCGTTGGAAATCAACCAATAGAATCAATGAGAAAAAAGATTACACAAAAGGATATCATTACAGTATCCGAGGAGAGCTGCAGTACTTGCGTGTGGATTGTGTGGACGTCATGTCAATTACGTGGGATGATATGTAATCTGGGGAAACTGTAGAAAGCACAATTGCTCGGAGTCCGCCCGCTTCTCATCTGGCCCTCTCCTTTCTTTACTCTGCGCATCTCCGCTCCTCTTATAACACTCGCCCGCGCCCTTTCTCTTCTTCGCATAAGAGTCTCTTCCCTGACCTTTCACGTTGTCAGTTGGCGCGACGTGATATGTCTAATTCGGATGTGCGCTCTTGTTCAATTACAATGCCGTGTAACAATTCGACATGTACGCAACTTATCACACTCCCCTCAGTTGACCTGATCTCTGGTCAACTCTTGCTTACGTCTTTCAATACTGGTGACACAGTTCGTGGTCGCAAATACGAATACATTGTAGTTAAGTCTTGTTCTATATCCAATTTCTGCTATCAACTGCCTTCTCTGGATCAGAGTCGTTTCTCCACAAACCGGTGTGGCAAACCTGGCCAATTCTCCTTTGGATATCGTAGTTTCGTTTTGTCAAGCCGTCAGCAAGGTTGCGACTGCCTTGGATCCACATCAGCTTGTCCAGTTCCCCGCATTCAAAACTGTTACGGATTCGTTGTACCGTGGGTCTGAGGCGGTATTCATGTCCTTCGTGCAATGTAGTGATAGTGTCCCACAGTGCCTTGGAGTCCACTACGATTTCGTGTGTTAACGAGCACTTTCTGAATATAGAGTTTAGCGCGTTCTTCAGGGAGTATCCTCGATCATCTGCGAAAGCACACGCCAAGACCTCTGCTCCGTACGCTGAATAGGATATTCTCTTCTGCTTGTGGCTGGACCAATCTATGGTATGGAAGAGAGTTCTGTCCGCAGTGCAAATCTTTAGTCCTTGTAACATTCCGGACTGTCCGTATTCCCTGTCCTTTCCTGAATGTGAAGCATCTGAAAATGTAGTGATTGATACAGTTTGTACATCTGACGGGCTGAGGAAAAGGAGGATGGGTTTCATGCGGAGTGGTTCGGAGACTGATGTGTTTGCGTCGATAATATCCTGTACTTTCAATTGAGCAATTCGCTGCTGCATCAGTGAGGCGATAAGAGATGCTTGCGGCATTACGGCATTCCCGAGGTATAGCAACGTTCCTGCTAAGGATCGGAACATTTTCATCTCGTTCATGGTCACTGTGGCGTGGATTTCCTTTCGTCTTTTCCGATCGAGGTGTATCAGTTTCAGCCTTCTCATGTATCTATTCATTGACATCGTTATCGATCCTTTCTTATCCTGTTCTATTTCGCAACCGCTGAATAGGATTTTCTGATCGATTACTGCTTTTCCTATTACGAACCTCTTGCCTATGCTTGTGATGAATTGATTCGCGTTCTCGGTGGTTCCAGCAATGAGGAAGTCATCGGTAAGTTTTGCAATTATGAGTATGATCTTATCTTCCCTGCGCTTGACGTATAGTTGTCCAATACCCAGAATGCGCTCCAGTCCTCCCTGTGTGAGCATCCAGTTTTCCACTACCTTCATCCACTGTCTCCCGGCCTCGACGATGCCATAAGGGAGCTTTGTAAGCTTCCATATTATGCCTCGCGTTCCATTCCATTCTCTCGGAGGGCGGACGAATATATCTCTCCTGATCGGACCGCTCTGGAGGTAGGCGCCTGTGATGTCGATGGCTGCAAGCCTAAAGCCTAAGAAAGTGGTAAGTGAAAGAAGAAGTCGTATGATGTTTAGTTGGACCGTAGCTGAGTCTTTACGGATTTCGTCTTTTTCCTTATCCCTGTTCCCGTGTGGCACTATCCTTGCCTTCATCATGCGCTCGCCTTCCTCATCTGTCTTCACTTTATATACGACATGGGATGTTATTACGTTCGCGTTTCTTTCTACTTCATTCTCTGGTATCGGTGTGTATGCTTCTGCCCAGTTGTTATCGTGTTCTTTTTCAA